TAGATTGGCTGGTGAGCATAGCAGGGGGATGGTCAATTTACTTGTTTTTCTTTTATTATATAGGATTGGCTGGTGAGCATAGCAGAGGGATGGTCAATTTACTTGTTTCTCTTTTATTATATAGGATAATATCTCCTCACCCAAGGGTATTTTTCCATTGATTTTTAGAGTGTGGAAAGGAGAGGGAGAGACAGAGAGAAACATTGATGTGAGAGCGAGACATCCATTGGTTGCCTCCTGCACACACCCTGACCAGGCCTGGGAAACCTGAATTCTTCCTTGTGTTATCATTTAACTTTTAAGTATAATATGTAGTTATAGTTTGAAACAATAGAAAAGATGCTAGAAGCATCTGTTACTGCTTAAAGATATTCTTTCTCTGAGTTAGGTCCCAAATGGTCTAGGCAAAGTGAGAAACAACTTTCAATAAACAGAATTAAAGAGAAAAGTTTCTAAAAATGTCCCTTTTATGTATAGATCGAGTATGTTTCTTTTCTACCTTTCCTAAAGTTTCTACATTTATAGAGTTCTTGAAAGCCTTTGAAGACACTGGTGGGAAGAAAACAAGGGAAAGAAATAGGCAAGAGGAGAAGGAAGGGTCAGGATGAGAAGGGAACCTTTAAGTCAGGTTTTTTAGAGCTCTGCCTCCTTCCATACTTCTAAAGAAGTTTCAGGAGAAAGGGATGAATAGGACTAGAAGGTAGATCTGTATGCACTTTGAGCTAATATAAATAACCATGAAGAAAAAAATGGGAACTACATCAACCAGATAATATAAGAGAAACAAAACAGTGGAAGATGAAGTTGACATAAGAATGAAAGAATGGGAGAAAAGGATCAAATAATTTCTAATTATCAGTCATACTTTAGAGCAAACCTTCTTATCATTTAGCATGTAGATCCTTATCTGCTCTAGGGAGAGCAGTAGTATGTCTGTCGTATTCTCTGTCAGTAGCATGTATCTACTAGTAGGTCCCATTGACTAAGGACTAATATCCCTTCTTAGAAATAGTTCCTCTCTGGAAAGTCTGTTTGTCCTTTCTGCACCTTGAACCAATGTGCTTTTGCACAAATGGTTACATTTGTTCCAGTTCTATAAAAACAAAATATGTTATCTCTGGATTATTATTATTGATGCTCAGAACTGTTCTAAAAAATGAGCTACATTTCTACTTTATATTATAGACCAATGGATCTGAATTATTTAGGATGTTTCACTGAAAGGGTCTGGGCTTGCAGCCAGCTACCAAACAACTAATTTGCTGAGACATATCTTTAAAATGAGTGTCATTTTATCCTGCATTTAGTCCTCCTTTGGGTGCTTGTCTGTGTGCACTTTAGGCTGAGGCAAAGCCACCGACAGTAGGGATCAAAGACAAGGGACCAGACCTTGCCAAGTGAGTGGTTCCTGTTTAAGGCTACTAGATTAGTGTTTAATGGATAACTGCATTTACATTTGAAGGCTCAGAGGGATAATATTGAAGGAAAGGGGTTGGCTTCATGACTCCCAAGCTAGGTGACCTTTGACAAGTCTTTTATTCTCCCTAAACCTCAGTTTCCTCCTCTGTGAAATGAGGTTAATAATATTTTGTTCACAGGGTTGGTATGAGGATTAAGTGTGTCAGACACTCTGTAAACTGTAACGTACTTGACAGATGCTGGTTAATGTGATTGAATGCTTTATGTTGTGAGTTGATGGTACAAAATAGGGCAGGAGTGAGGGGCCTGTGTCCCTGATGTATGTGGCAGCCCACACAGTGATAATTAGCATAGGCTATTTTGTGGGAATTAAGAATCTCAGTTGCAAGTGAAAAGAGGCATGGAGTTATTATATTTTTCTTTTTGGTTCTTGTTTGTGTTTTATTTTTCTGTAGACAAAGCAGTAGTGACAGAATCATGTCCTTAATGTTTCCCAGTATCTTTACCTGAATACAGTAACCACTGCCTATAACTTAGAAGGCAGGAACCCAACTGCAATATATGGGTCTTAAGAGGTACTGACCTACTCCTGCTGGGGGGGGGGTGGTATCTCAGGTCAGAGGGTGAGCAATGAAGTGATCATGGGAGTTTAAATACAGCCAAGAATATTTTTTTGGGGAGGGAATATAGGAATTGGTGTACTTTAAAAATATATCACAAGCTTAAAAAATTTAAATATAGTATAAATAGAGAATGAGAAGACTTGTTTGGACTAACTGTAGGGGAATAACTCAGTAGAGAATTGGCATGGCAGTGTTCATTACCAAGGACAAGGAATGGCAGATAAAGCAAATGTAGTGGAGGAAACCTCTTCTTCCTCCATGACTTAAAAACAAAAGTGGAACAATTATGAGTTATGAGAGTATAAACAAGTCCAGCAATGCCTCCAGAATAGAAACTGGAAATTACAACTGGATCTCAAATTGATGGAATTCAGTGAATTTGCCACTCAACTAAGTCTACCTCTAAAATTTACACTGTCACAAAATCCTGCTGCTGGATTTTAAATTAACTTTAAAACTTAGTTGGAACAGACCAAGGGATCTCAGAGGGAAGGCGAGTGGAGGTGGAGCGGGGAGAGAGTAACCAAAGAACTTATACACATATATGCATTACCTATGGACCACAGACCGTAGGGTGGTGAAGGCCTGGGGTGGGGTGGGAACCGGGTGGAGGGGGGCAATGGGGAAAAAAGGACATCTGAAATAATCTCAATAGTAAAGATAAAAAACCTTAGTTATCATTAAAGTTTTGACTTTTTCTCACTGTGGTAAATTTATTTAACAAATATTTACTCAGTGCTTCTTTACCAGATATTGTTTGAGGTACTAGGAATAAATCAATAAACAAAACAATTGAATACCCCTACCAACATGAAGGTTGCCATCAAGTGAAGTGGGAAAAATAAATAATAAATAGTATACGTAAGAACATTATATGGTACCTCAGATGGTGAAAAGTGCTATAAAAAACAATAGAGCAGGATATGGTATCTAGAGTGAAGGGGTTTTGGGAGGGGCAGGTTTAAGTATTAATAGATGATCAAGGCAGGCTTCATTGAGATGGTGATATTTGGGCAAAGACCCAGAAGAGGTGAGGTAGTGAGCCTAGAGAAATCTAGCAAAAGAGCATTCCATATTAAAGGAACAGCTAGATCAAAGACTCTAAAATGGGAGCATTCCTAGAGTGTGCAAGAAGCACCAGGGAGTCCAGGATGGCTGGAGTCCAGTGTGTGAGGTGAAAGCAATAGGAGATGAGATGGGGTGGGGGGAGCAATGAGAAGGGAGAGGCAGAGAATTGTGGAGGGCAGTATAGGCTATCATAAGGAGGAGGACGTTTAAGCAATAAACATTTAAACCAATCTACATAATCTGATTCTCTACTGGGGATTGCAAACTCTCATTTAGTCCCCAAATACATTCATGTTTTCTTTCTTCTAGCTTCCTGGGGTGGACAGATGTTCTCTTTGAAGCCCTATGGAGGAGTAAGCTTATCTGCCAACTGACATTTCTCATGCTGGCATACCTGTGGTATTCAATCTTGGATAAAAGAATGGAACTTACTTATCTGAGCCCTTTTGACAGACTTTAATGTATTATGTATTTACACAAAGAAAAAATACATATTTCTCAAATGTTTCATATACAAGTTAGAGGATAAAATGAATTGCTTACCAACATATTGCTTCCAAAATTCAGTCTATAAAGAAAAAGAGAAGTTAATGGTGGCATTTAAAATGTCTTGGATTTGATTCCTTCTCTTTTATAGCATTTTTAATACATATATATGTGTAGGCATTTTAAAATCACAAAGAGAAGTTTCTCTTTTTTATGTTTACTATTCTTTGCATCTGAAGAATGTTATGTGGAAATACTCACAGTTTTTTCAGTGTTTTCAAAAACTTCTCGTGCTTCTTCAAAACTGCACTTTTCTTCTATACATTCTCTCTCAAGGTTCCCTTGAACAAACTCTTCCAGTTTACCTGAATTATATCTCTTTGGCCGATTCAGAATTTTGGTGGCATTTTCACGATCAAGAAAAACTGAAATTTAAAAGAACTATTCTTTAGCTTTAGGAAAAATAAAACATCATGAAAATCAAATGCATTTCTTAGGGAAGATTTTGTTTTTAATCCAAGTAATCCCAAAGCCAATTTATCTTTGGGACATGGAGACAAAATCTATGATTTTCTCATGATACTGTACACACATGGAGATTTAGGAATTAAAATTCAATTTGACTTTTAGTCAAGAGAGCTCCTGTAATAAAAGGTCAGATTTTCAATCATAGTTGAACTTACTTTGGATGAAAAAGAAAGTTCTTAAATAAGCAGTTAACTTCACACGTTGTGATTATTTGAAAATAGCCAATTGCAGATGTTTGCAAGGTGATTCATCACCCTTACTGGGCTGTGTTTTCAGAATGCAGTTGCCCAAATGACTTTGCAACAAACATCTCTTTGAAGAACAGAAACCTTTTTTTTATTGCTTAAAGTATTACAAAGAGTATTACATATGTTCCCCCCCCC